TCTCTCTCTCTCTCTCTCTCTCTCTCTCTTGCTTTGCCTATCTTGAATACTTGTGTGAGTAGTCTTAGCGAACCCCAATATTTTATAAAGCAAAGCGAAGATAAGAAGTGAGGCTCTCTATTCCTTCGCCTCTAGCAAACAGCGCACAGCAGCAGTACCGCAGGAACCGTCCCCTTTCAAGAGACACGGCAATCCTCCCAGCGTAATTAAAGACGTCAGCAATGAAGGTGACTGTTGTGTCGGGGTCCCGGTCGGAGGTGGTCGAACTGCCTGCCAGCGCCATGCTTGATGACCTCAAGAAGAACTACCGGCCTAAGATGGACATCCACCGCAAGTCCTTCAAGGTGGCGGCCGGCGGCAACGACGAGAAAGGCAAGGCGGTGCTCGTCACGCTCGTCGACAAGCTTTCACTGCACATGCAGGGTGTGAAGGATGGTGCTGAGATCACCTTTAAAGACTTGGGTCCGCAGGTCGGCTACCGCACCGTCTTCGTCGTCGAGTACGCGGGGCCGCTCGCCATCATTCTCTTATACGCGATGCGGCCGTCCTTCATTTACGGCAGCACCATCGCCAACGGGTACGGCTACACGCAGAAGGTGTTCATCTCCCTCTTCGCTGCGCACTTCGTCAAGCGCGAGCTGGAGACGTTCCTTGTGCACAAGTTCTCGCACCCGACGATGCCGCGCCGCAACATCATCAAGAACTGTGTGTACTACTGGTCCTTCGCGCTCTTTATCGGCTACGTTTTGTGCCACCCGTCTTACACAGAGCCGTCAAGCCGCACGGTGGTGAATGCGTCGGCGGCGGCAATGGTGCTCTTCGAAACGCTCAACTTCGCTGTGCACAAGCAGTTAAGCGGCATGCGCCGCAGTGACGGCGATACAACACGCACGGTGCCGGGCGGGCCGCTCTTCTCGCTCGTGTCGTGCCCGAACTACACCTTTGAGGTTCTCTCGTGGGTGGCCTTCTCCGTCGGCACCAGCATGATGTCGTCGTGGTTCTTCACCTTTGCCGGCCTGCTGCAGATGGCGGAGTGGGCGGTGAAGAAGCACAAGGGATACGTCCGGTCGGACCCCGCGGTGAAGAAGAAGAAGGCCTTGATTCCATTCATCCTCTAAGTGGGTGTGTGTGTGGGGGAAATGGCTGCTGATCATCGGGTGAGACATTCACTTTTTTTTCCACGTTTTTTTGTCATTCTTTCTTTCTTTTGGGATTGATATGTGACGCTTTTCCACAATGTGTGTGTGTGCACGAGTGTTTTTTTTTTTTTACAGTGTTGGTATCTTTCTGATTGCTGTGGTCGCTGTTTTTTTTGTTTTTTTGATTTATTTCTTGCCCGCCTGCTTGTTTGCGGGGCGGCGCTTCGCACGCCGAGCGCCCCCACGCGTCGCCAGCAGGCGGGTGTGTGCGCCCAGTCTCACACGCACGACGGAGCAGCAGCAGCGGTGAAGAGGGTGTGGGTGGGAATGTGGGGAACAGGCTAGACGGACGCCACAGCAACGAGTGCAGGGGAGTTGGGAGGGGAGGGGAGGGGAGAAGCACAACAACAGCAGCAGCAAGAAGAATAACCCCAACGGTGGCTGCAGTAGCGCCCATCGCAGGCTTCCAAAGCAAGGAGAGAGGGGACCCACTACTGTTTCGAGTGAAGTGAACCATATTGCCTTCACATACGCAGACCTGAAGGAGGGTGCAATGGGCCTATTCGTGTGCAAAGCGAATAAGCCCCGACAAGATGACTAGGGAAACGAGAAAGGAAAACAGAAAGCACACGCATACACGCACATAAAGAAATGAAAAGAAAAAAAAGCTTGTTAGCAGCTACGCAGGAATGTGAGCAAAGGAAACACAATTCAACGCTTCATAGGATTTTATCTGGGCTCGAGACTCCTTTCGGTGCAACATGAAGGAATTCGCGAGAATGCAAGTAATGCCGGGGTCAGAAGGTCATGGTGAGTCTGTTTGTGTGCCTTCGCTGCAACTATTCCTTCTCGCTTCTTTGTATTGCTTCCACTCTTAGCATGTGCATCGCCACTCCAAGATAAGGAGGGGAGAGCCGGCAAGGGAGAGATTGGGGTGCTGCCGCAATGGAGGCAGCGGCAGGGGCGTCGACGGTGGTTGCCAGCAACGGTCCGCTCGATGAGACATTTCTCTGCGCCAATTTGGAGTACTTGGCGTCACTGCACCCACCCGCCATCACTCCGGTGCTGCCGCTGCTGCACGGCGGGGCGGGGCCGCTCCCGCACGACTTTACGCCGACATCGCCCATCGTCTTGCAGGTGAACGCAGTGGAGGATGTGTCGCTCCCACTGGCACAGCGCCTGCGTGCGCTGGTGCCGGCAGAAGGAGCAGAACAGGAAGAGAAGCCACAACAGGGGACGGAGCAGCAGACAAGTGTAGAGGAAACACTGCGCGCCATGGAGAGTGATGAGCCTGCGTCACAGCGGCGCGGACGTCGGCAGCGGTTGCTTCGTCTGACACTCACCGACGGCTTCACACGCGTCATCGCGGTCGAGGACTGCCAGAACGGCTGCGATGCGCTGCGTAACGGCGTTGCCTTGGGGGCTAAATTGCGAATTGCCGCACCTCTGCGGATACGTCAAGGCGCGCTGCTCCTCACCACGGAGAGCACGGTGCATTTGGGGGGATTTGTGCCGGAACTGCAGGAGTTCTGGATGAAGCACGCGGCGGCGATGCTTGAGCAAATGTCTGGAATGCCGCGAAGGCGTGAGGTGACAGGTGTGCCACCTAACACCGTCGCTCCTCCCCCGAATGAGTCGGTGCACGATCAGGCTGCTATGGCTATTCATGAACCTCATAACCACCACCAGCAGCAGCAGGTGCAGGTGCAGCTGCAGTCTGCCGTTTCGGGGTCTTTGCATAGTAACGGAGCTGTAGTCGGTTCAATTCCGGTGTTGCAGTTACAGCCGCTCTCCGCGTGGCCGTCGCATCACCCGCCCAATGCTCCCTTCGCCACGCTGGCAATCATCAGCGAAGTCACATCTGAATTGACGATGCGCGAGGACGCCGTGCATTGCGGTGGCGGCTCGCTGCTGTTCTCACTNCTCGTCCTACTGACACCACCGCCGCCACCAGGAGCAGAAGCAGAGGCAATCGGAAGCAGCACCAGTATTGGGGACGATGGCGGGCTGGTGGTGGACCTGGGTCACCGTTTTCTGCGGCAAGTGCTCCGCATGGACCCCGACGCGTTCCGCGCACTCTCCGCCTCGCGCCTCCCCGACGACGTGGCGCGCCTCGACGCGTTGGTGGAGAGCATTGGCCGGGAGCTAGAGAACTTCGGTGTGGCGCGCTTCGTGCTGCAGCAGCGTGAGGCGGACGGCATCATTGAAGTTGTGGAAGCGACGCGGCAGCAGTCCGTATGATAAATGGGAATCGCATATTTTCCTCGCCGTACATATGCGAGGGAGAGGCATGGGGCAGCAGACAGCCGTATTCACAAAGAAAGTCTCGGGGAGAGGGAGAGAGCAGAAGAAGACATTCGTCGTGTGAGCTGCAAACCCACAGAGACGAGTATCGCAGCCAGTACCGTGCCGGTGCTCATCACAGTGGGGGGGGGNGGGGGGGGGGGGGGGGTGGCCAAGCGCCTCCTATGCTCTGTTCACCGCCCATTAATCATTCTGCCTTACCAGACAGACATTTTGTCATCTTGTAAGATATTTCCCTCCTCGGTCTCTGCCTCTGTCTTCTTAGTCACTTGTTTCTCTCTTTATTTTTGTTTTTTCTCGCCCCTTGCGAAGCACGGCACGCAAGCGACACCGAGGCATCTGGGTGACGGATACCAAGTGGAAACGGAATCAAGGAACGAAAGTCACTGTGGACACGCACGCCGAGTGAATAAAGAATTCAAGTATGGGCTGTGGCTACTCCCTCTACTCCGAACCTGATGATATCATCTTCAAGTACAAGGGGCCGCCGCGTGGGTCAGGCCGGGCCTACAAGATGTTTAAGAAGGAGAATGGACTGCTGTTCCGCATCGAGATGAATGGTGGGCGGTGGGCCTTCTATAACGACACCNACAAGATGTTTAAGAAGGAGAATGGACTGCTGTTCCGCATCGAGATGAATGGTGGGCGGTGGGCCTTCTATAACGACACCAAGGAGTATGAATTTCATCTGCGTTACGTCTTTGACGAGGGCAGCGAGGTGACGGGGCTCGGCGACACCACTGTGACGGAGATGGACGACGGCACCACAATCGTGGAGACGATTGTGTACCCTCTCGAGACCCTAATGTTTGTCGAGGGCGATATTACGGGTGGCCGCGGCAGGATCGAGGCGATGCCGGTGTCCGGACGCTACAAGCGAGAGAAACTGAGGGGGAAGCTCATGCGTGGCACATGAAGGGAGAAAGGATAAGAAAAGAAAAAAATGAATGCGATCATTGTATGAGTCTTCACTCTCGATTTTCTTTCTTTTTTTTGTTTTCTGTGGCTGACGCGTACCCGAGTTGGTGCGGGTGGTGCTGTATTAGGTTGCCGTTGCGTGGTGGGTGGAGCGGGGGGAGGGGTGGGGGCGAGCG